CTGTAGTTTTTCTTATATCACTGTGCTTTTTAATTTTTCTTGTTTTAATTTTTTTTATTAGTATCCGGCCCGCTGTAATTGGCCACAGCTGTTGCGGTGTCCCTGCCAACGTTCTTTCTGTTTGTCTGTCTGTTTGTTTTTTTTTGGCTAAGCTAATAAAAAAAAAATCAATAAAAATAAAATAATAGCCTATACAGGGAGGCTCCGTCCGAAAGGGGTACCTTTTGGGGCTTCAAGTAGGAGGGACTTCACGTTTAGTCATATGCTATAGAAAACACTAATTTCGACTAAATAAGGCTTTAATTTTTGTCTAATAAACGTGAATTACTTACATTGAGGTAGGCTTTTTTCTTTTCTGGTCAATTCTGGCATACATTTTTCTTGTAGAAAGCCTGTTTTGATTCAGAAGTTGATCTGCATTCATTAAAACTTGATAACCGAGCGCAAGCGTCTTATGCGAATCCAGGAGCGAGGGCGGTAATGGCGCGAGGAGTATTCCACTAAAAAATAGCTATTAACCATTAAACAATAGTGAATAGTGAATCACCTGCTGCATGGGAATTTGTTGTTATGCTAAACTCGAGACAATAGGAAATCCCAAAGCAAAAAATTATCCAAATGTATCACGTCGCTCCAATATTTACTCAATTTTGCGCCTTCTTTAGGCAACTTTTCGTGGAAACAAAAATCGGGCTGTATATAGTACACTGATCAATTGCAGCACTGAAATTTTTTAAAAACAATCTATCGTCGAATTTTGGTTCAATCACTGTTTTCGTGAAAGTAGCCTTAGAAATTACAAAAATAGCTCAACTTCGCGTTTTACCCCGATTCATATGTTTTCGTGTTTTTCGAAATCGCTGAAGTCTACTTGCGTTTACCCAATCGTAGAGTGTGTAAGGGTCATTTGGAAAACGTCAATGAGCTATAAAACCTTTCCGGAAACATCGAAAAAGTAGCAAATCGTCTGCAAAAAGTCCAGTTTTCAATTCATAATTTATACCTTTTTTAGAAGTTATAAGATATCTTGAAATTCCTTTCATAGATTTCGCATAACGAAAGACAAGCACCCAAAGTATGCGCAGCATAAAGTATTTCTAAAGTCCAGTTCGATAAGGGCTGAAATTCGATTTAAAGCTGAAACTGTTGTGACGTCACTGCCACCTGATATTTATTCCGATCGCCAGAAAAATAATATCATAATAAAGTTTAGTCTATGGGTAATACATGTGTTCTAATGGTTTTACCATAAAGATCAATTTGTTTAACTATAAGAGATTTAAAGATGGAAGGTGTCGCTACAAAATTATTGTATCGAGCCACCTTAAAAGTCCCCATTACAATATTCTACATTAATTGTTTGCTTTGAGGCAGTGGTGCGTGATCTTGATGACGTTTCAAACGATCGATTAAGATGTGCGGACGTCTCAGGAACAAAATAACTTGAGTGAAATTCACAGTATCCCGGTAAACGCCCTTGGATTCTTTCTCTGTCTCTGTCTATACTATAAGAAGAAACTGAATCAATGTTAAATCTAATACCCGTGACACTTGGAAACTTTCAAATAAAATCCTAAACAGAAAGAAAAGAAAGGTCGAAACGTGCTCAACATTTTAAGCTGATCATTATGAAATTACTGACCCTGTCAAAATTGCCAACAAGTTTTGTAGTAACTTTTCAAGCATCGTCCTATTTAGCAAGGGGCATACAATCGTCATCTTCACGTCGCAGTTACTCAGTCAATATTCTTTAACTCCGACCTATCTCGGTACTCCCTATCTGTTCAAAATTCTTATAGAACCCCTGCAATACCTGACAGATTTCAGTCTGTAGAAAATCAATAAGGGTTTGACGAAAAATCATTCTACTGCACTCGCATTGATGATCGACTTGTATAAGAAGAACTGCACGGTCTTTGACCGAGGTGAATTTGCCGTCGGTATTTTTCTTGACCTCTCAAAAGCCTTCGACACCATAAATCGCGATTATTTTTGATAAAGTCGAACATTACGGTATTCTTGACTTAGCCTTGGACTGGACAAGAAGTTGCTTTTCAAATAGAATACATTGTGTTGAATTTAATGACTATCATTCGTTAAGAAATGAAATCTCTTGTGGTGTCACTCAAGGTTCTATCCTCGGGCCTCTTAATTTTTTCTACTTTACATTAATATTGTTCGCCGACAATACCAAATATGAATGCATTCAAGTCACATAAAAGTCCGGACTATCTTTCGTTAGCTAAGTTGGAGGTGGACAAACTGTCAATCTGGTTTTAAGCAAAAACACTTTCGCAAAATCTAAAAAAGACTAAACTTATGGTCTTCAAACCAAAAGATAAAACATGCCTATTGTGAAATTCAGATAATTAAGTATTGATAATCAACATATCGTTCGAGTAAAGGAGACACGTTTTTTTTAAGTAATCTTGGATGAAAACCTAAATTGGAAATAAATCGAATTGGAAATATAGCGTGCTGCAAACAAAGTTGCGAGGACAATCTCTTTAATATTTAAATGCAGCTTCTATCTTTACTAAAACTTCTTTACGTGTATTGTATTATTCCTTAGTTTATCGATCCTTTCTTTTACTACTATAATATAGTTTGGGCTTCGATTTTTAAAACCAATCTCCGTCGTCTCGTTATCCTGCAAACTAAAGCGCATTCGTTACAATCACAAATTAACAAACTAGCGCATTTCAATACTCATGCATACAGACCCCATTTTTTAAGGAACTAGGTATACTAAAATTTGAAGATATCTGTGGTTCATAAGCTTCCTATGGTAACTGTAGATCTCCTCGTCGATTCTCTTTTTCTACTTGTCTTACATTATTTGTATTTCTATCATTGTGCAACAAATAAATAAAATAAAACGAAATAAAATCCTCGCACTCTACCTAATAATAGTCAAGTCTCATCCTTCCGTAGAACTCCTTCGACTTAAATGGGAAGAAAATTATCCTTTTTCCTATGGTGTCGCCGTGGGCCAAAAAATGGCAGTGTCTTTTTGTAATTATCTTTAGGGCGGAGTTCGAAACAATCGGCAAAGCAATAACAAGATAATCATGAATGGGGACGTTAAATTAATGATGTTTCCTCCCTTTGGGGCAGAAGAATAAATGGATATTTATTTATTGGACAACCTACCATTTTTCAACCCACAACAAAATTCAAGGCTAAAATGAGGACGAAATAACTTTCTCTGGTATATTGCTTTTCAAAGGAGAGTGATTCACAACTGAAAGAATTTCTGGACATCAAAATTTATGCATTTACAAACCGACAGAAACCTTTCTATTCAAGCACTTTACCTCGTGTCACCCACCAAGGATAAAAAGAGGTTTGACCAATTGAAGCTAATTGAGAAGGAATAAAATTGCTTTGAACAAACTCTTCGAATACAACATTTGAACTTGAACTGCCTTGCGATGTTCATTACGCCATGAACCACTAACGTAACTAGCCTTCCTTAAATTACCGAATAATATTGTTGAGACAGTCAATATATGTTAGCAAGTTTACTGCGCTTTTCACAAACATGCGAATTCTGAAGTTCAAAAGCCAACTGAAGATTGCGTTTTTCGCTGCCGTCAATCATCTTAACGGACCTCTTAGGAAACAAAACTTTACTTTAGCGTTCAAAAGGTCAAGGTTTGTGATTTGTGATTGGTGGATTTCGATCCGTTTTGTGTGTTTCTGTGTTTCCAGGTTCGTTGCTTGTGATCGTAATTATGATTGACGGCAGCGAAAAACGCAATTGTGAAGGCGGCTTTTGAACTTTAGAGTTCGCATGTTTGTGAAAAGCGCAGTAAGAAACTTTTGTACAAGAATAGTAAGTAATAGTCAGTGATGGCATAATCAGCACTGACTCTGTGAATATCGATCATATTTTTAATTATATTTCTAATTTCAAATATTATACTTTTAGAAATGGGGTCAGTTCTTCTTCTTCAGTTCTTCTCTGTTTGCACCCTTTTTGCATCATTCTTTTTACCGCCTATTTGTTCCCTTTCAGCGGTCAGCTATGCCTTAAAGACAATAGACTCTTGAGGCAAAAACCAAAAATGTAGAAAGGTTTATTGCCTTTGATTACTAAATACCACTTAGCAGTACAAAACTAATCTTAAAAAATATTTTAAAAATCTTAAATAGTGATGAAAAACTAGAGTCTAGCAGGAAAACATGCACTTCTGAAAACAAATTCTTCTCTGATCATGGCTTACAAAATATGTAGGCGAATGTCTAAAAGACACGCTTGTAATTATAACAGCAGAAACAAGGCTACAATAATGCGATGTGACCACAAGCATAAACTTATATGCACGCTCGTCTTGAACTTCCTTCGAAAATTCATTGTTACAGCAGGCGCCAGAAAAATTGTGACCCTTCCCAAATTGGAACCCAAATAAATCTTAGCCTTCCTCCGGCCCTGAATAATCAATGACTACTCCCCTTACTAATCTCGCCCAATCTCGCCAGGATTATAAAATCCTCGGTGGATAACACTCTTCTACTCGTCATAATACTCAGGCTCATTCAATGATTGTTAAATGACAGAAGTCTAACTTAGATCGCAGCTCAAGACAATACTGAACAGAACTTATTACCCATTTTCGCAAAATTAATAACGTTTCTTACCCTAAGCAGTTTACCAGGATCAAAAATTAAAAAGCACCATCAAATCATGATTTCACCATTAAATGACATGATTTAATTCTTCCCTTTTTACCTTTAGCTAGTGGCAGTTAACATCCGTCTATAACTTAACTATATCCAAAATAAAGCTGAGTAGCCTTTGGTCCCTTTTGGTTTATCCTGGACAAAAAAACAGAATATTTTTCTGAACCACAGTGAAAATCATGATGCCCGCACTGATCAGTTCACATCAGTCACTTTTCGCCGCTGCTTTGCATACAGTGGTTAACGTTTATTACAATGCTTTCGATCCACAAGTAGCAAATTAAAGATGATCATCTACAAATTGGAAAGATTTTTCACAGCTGGCTCGTTGAAATGCCTTGCGCATTTCTTTGTCCTGTCTGGTCTGCACCAGTTGCGGAATTATACTGAAAACGAGAACAAAAGTTATTAAAATAGTGTTTATAATCCCACAATATATAAATAGACCATAATACATTCTCGTACCAAGAAAAAATCCCTCGCCTCTCGGTTTGAAAAACAGGCAATTTATTTTAATCAGGAAAACACTTTACCGCCGGCAGGTGACAGTCTCGGCCAATACCTTAAGTACGCATGTGCACGGCTATATCATCCGGGCAATTAGCTTGGCAAATCCCTTCCAGCCCAACTTCTGTCCTATGGCCATGCCTTGGTGATAAGTTTTCATTTGGGTCGGACAGCTATCCGTGGCTTCCACTGCCCGCTAGATACGGCTGTACGCATGTGAAAGGTACGGTTGGTGTTTGAGTGTAATCTTGATTGTGAAACTTGCTTCACTGTTTCTCCTATTAATTTCAGTCCAGATTAACTCTAAGCGATGTAACCTGCGATACGAAAAGGGGTTAGGGTGGAGCCTCCCAGTATAGGCCACAAGCTATAGGTAGCATTCCCCCGGGAATGCTGCTGAGTAACTGAACAACACGTTTACTTGTGTTTCATTGAATGAACAAAGTTTTGAATGATTTTTCAATCATTTCCTCTTTTGCATTTATTTGCAGTTTGATACTTTTAATAATTGTTATGATCATAAACTTGACACAATGACCCAGTTCAAGTCGAGAACGTTGCGGTCCATTTTTGGAGATCATCTTCGCTCGCGGCGATCATTTGCGGCACTGTACAGACACGTGAAATTCATTCATTGGTTCGACAGGTTTACTAATAAAAAGGCTTTTACTGAAACTCTCGGTTAGTGGCGAGAACAGTACTTACGATTCCCGCATTTCTTTCTCTGGCATCCATTGGGTAGGCATTTTGCGCGCGCCACCAATAGAAAGCAATGAAAACTACGATGAAGGCTGCTAATCCCAATGACACACCAATAGCAACGTACTCAATTGTTCCAAAATCATCTGGTTGAAAAACAAAAATCATTAAATTAATCGGTAGAATGCTTGAAAAAGTGAAAGAAACAAGCATAGCGGGACCGCAAGCTCCGGCATTGTAATCTGACAGTTAAATCGAAACAATAAAATTTAAGCTGAACATTTCGGCTAGCGATTTCGAAATTTCGTTCTTAATGCTCAGTTTCCATGCTAGCCATTCAAAATTAAGGCGGGGGGAGGGAGGGGGGGGAATGAGTTGAATCTGAGCAGGCTGTTCCACATTTCCCCAAAACTGTAAATGATGAAATAAAACAATAATGAATAAAATAAATGGTGAAAAACTATTGAACCCGTCTGTAAATTACCGTGATTTGTCAGTAACTGTCGCAGACCATTCCTCTGCTACACTAAGGACACATCATAATATTTTTTTCACTCTTGACTAATAATTGTCTATAATAATAATAACAATGATGGTGATTATGATGATTATGATGGTGACGATCTAAGCCCAGTTGTTCGAAGGCCGATTTTTAGCGCTTAATCCAGGGTTAAATTTAACCCGGCTTTCTTTTTTTTTTGTTCAAAAGCATTTCTTGGATAATTTTCTCTGTTATTCGTACGAGTATCCAATCATTAACCTGTTGACAGAAAGAATTAAACTGAATTTACTTTTTAAGCTTTCAAATCTGAACTCAAATTTCGCACTAACCCTGGGTTATCTTAACCCTTTCACTGCCAGAGTGTTTGAGGGGGTTTCGTAAGGTGACTCTAACTTTTGAGTCTATGGACGAAATCCTATGATGTAACCATTTAGATGAAAGCTCTCTGCCTTTACTTTCACGTGATGCCATTCGTTTCTCAAAATTTTAGAAAATGAAATTTGGAACTTTGGTCGAAATTTGCCTTTGGTCACATTTGGCAGTGAAAGGGTTAACCCAGCTTTGAACAACCCGGCCCTGATGGTGACGATGATGGTGGTGTGATCGTGATCGCGATCAGTTGATGATGGTTATCGTCATAGTGATGTTGATGATAATGATGCGGAAAATAACAATAATTAAGGTCTACAGACTACAAAGGGATTCATTCATAAAAAAAAGAACCATCTAAAATATTGCTTTGGGCTAACGCTCGGAACGTCAGCTTCTCAATCCCCCAACGTTGGCCAATCTATATAAATTATCAGCAAGTCCACGGCGACAAACCAATGAAAGGTGCGGATCTACCTTATCAACTCAGTTGATGAAGCCAATGTTTTGTGTCAAAATTCGCACTAGAAATGACTTTATTGGGACTGTAGTTTTCGAAATCGTTTTGTCGCCATTACTCTACTTAAAAAGTGGCTGCATGGGAAACAAATTTGAAGGCCGGAGTTGGGTGGAGTTGTGATGTAGATAACTAAAGAACATCTGCGCCGGAGGATGTTTCAGATTTATTTGGCCTTCGCTAGGCTAAGACTGTGACAAAGAACCCAGAATCAAGAATTTTCACTGTTAATGTTCTCTGTTCGCCCGCTTTTGGAAGCAATGGATGAATCGATCGGAAGGGTTTTGCGCTCTCACATGGCGTGATTGTAAATAAATTGTAAGGAGACATTTTCCGTCTCGGCGCTTTCAAAAATGGATTGTATTTAAACTGCGAATAATTTTGACTCTGGTATATAATCCCCAGGCCTTGTTTACTGCAACAGAACCGGCACATGCGAGATAACAATATTTCTTGGTGATATTATTGTCAAAAAGCCTTTAAACCCACCACAAAACTAGAGTGGCGGGAACCTCGATATAACGAAGGGCCAAAGGACTTACAAAATACGTTCGCTATAGGGAGGTTTCTTAGTATTTACCAAACCAGTGAGTGGCAATTTTCGCGCGTTTTGATTGGTTCCCGGTAATTCAGAATATCCTTGGCTATTCACTGTTTTGCGACCGGAGCCAAGATGGCGTCTCGTTTCAAGACATTTTCGGAAGACGAAATTTGAGCGATAAATGAAGCAGTCGAACAAACAAATACCAAGAAAGCGACGAACTTTGGCTTGTTGGTGGTTACTAGTAGGTAGAAAATTGTTTTCATGATGAATTTGCAACAAAATCGTAAAAATGCACTTGACAATGTTTGTAAATTATAAACAAAGTTCCTTCTAAGTGAATTTTTTAATTTACAAAAAGTTACTTTTTTTGTTTTTATTCAACTGTTGGTAAATACTAAAACAACTTTCCCCCTCAGGGTCGGTGAACAGCGCTCGATATTTACCTCGACGCTTCGCTTCTTGGTATGTACTATTCACCTCCCCTTCGCCGGATAGTTGTATACTATGACTGGGGCTAAGAATATTGTTCGTTATACCGAGAGCTTTTACAGCTGTAGTGTAGAGGTTCGTTATGCCGAGAGGTTCCACTGTAGTGCGAAATGCTGTTTTTTTCTTTTTGCAGATGCAAGCAAGATCGGAATTGTAGGTCCTTTTCGTGTAACAAATGACGTCATTATGACGTCTCTGCTTTTGTTAAAGGGACAGGTTCACGGTTCAGTACATGCTCATTAATCAAAGTGCTATTTTTCTGCTGGGACATGCTGTATCGCCTATGAAAGCAATATAATCATGTTGTAATGTTGTCAAAGAACCGATCTGCACACTCCCCTGGCAGTCACTTGATCAACTTAGGTGGAAATAACTGTAAATTAGTCAACCATGGAATAAAACCCTTGGGTCAACAATAAATTCAACGTTGGTAGTGTTGGCATGATCCACTAATTTTCTTCGATTTTAGTACTCCTCCATTCTACTTCACGTTACCCTGAAATACACTTCTACTTTGAAAGACACTCTGAGTTCGCTGAGATACATGTGAGTGGGATTATTAACCGATAGAATTAATAATAAATTGGAAAAACGTAATTTGATTAATGAGCATGCGCTGAACCGTGAACTTGTCCCTTTAAGATATTGTTGGCCAACTTTATGGTGAAGAATGAATGAAGATGCCTTCATCCAATAAATTCAAAAAAATGACGTTATTGTGTAATAACGTAATTTTTAAAGAGAAATTAAAGAAGTTTTATGCTCTTCCAAAAAATTTTTCAAAAGCGGAAGTTAAATAAATTATCTTATTGCGTAGGACGCAGTCTTCTTGCGGCTCATCGCCATAAACATACAGCGCTCGAGTGGTACTTAACAGGCCTGCAGCTGTGCACGCTATAACTTAATTTGCAGTTCCATGACAAAATCCGGCTGAAAAATCCTGACGTGTTTAAAAAGGAAACAAACACCTTTGTAACTGTAATTTCTACTATGTACGGTGTACGGTCAAATAATTGACCTAGATTATTTACAATCGGTGGACAGCATGTATAAATTTACAAACGCACGTGTAATGAGACATGACCAGGCGGTTAGCAACAGGGTCAATACCTACTTCCTTGACTCCAGCATTGAATTGTTAGTGAGAATAGCAAGTTGATAAACATAATTTCCTTGTTTTACATACCTTTGCACAACCGTTTGTTGCGGCTATCAAGAAACTTCGGCATAGAAAGAAAAGACTGAAAGACTCACGTCGACAAAAATTTCCCGAGTTTCAAAGCAAAAGTTTTATTGTTTGGGTAAGTTATCTGGAAACCGAGGAACGACGACTATATGACAAACCTCGCTTGGTTACCCTACTAAAAAAGGATTAACCTTCCAGTCATGTTTGAGTAGAAGTATTGTCGTTAGAACAAACTGACAAATAAAGGAGAAACTCACCACACGAAGCTCTCGGAAGACCTTGAAGAAACAAACCGAAGAGGAAGAAGACTGTAACACTTGAAGGAAACATAATTTGAAACGACAAACCTTGCACGTGGAATGAACAATCAGTGGTCTGTAACTGCTGAAATTATTGACTGCTGTCTAGTGATGTCATTTAGGTTAAATAAGTGAGTTGCGCATGTCAGACGAGTTCCTTTGCACTGCTTCACTGATTCTCTTTTTTTCAGAGAATATGAAGCCACGAACTCTGCGATTTCGATTATATCATCCATGGCAAGCTGGCCGGCCCGCTTGATCTCAACCTTTCTTTCAAAAGCAAGTAAAATCATCATATTTTTTTTGACAACATAGCTGAGATCTCATAGCTAAGATTACATTTCACTAGAAAAAGTTAAAAAAAATGTCTATGAATTTCAAAAACACTTCAGGATCGGGAATTCCCCCTTTACACCAATGCTATTTTTAAAATTACCGAAGCCTTTAGCTAGTAACATTCATTCAATGACGCTTCCAATTGAAGACATTGACAACCTCATATTACGAACAGCCAAGTGACTGGCAGAATACGTTCGCGGTTTCGTTATCGAGTTCCTTTTCCATAGATTCAGTTGCTATTAGGGGGTGGAAGAATACCGTTTGCTTTTTCAAGGACTTCTCGACACTTTGTTATATCAGGATATGTATAGAACTTCGTTATTACCTCGAGGTAACACTCTGTAATCTTCCTAGATTTCCTACAGCTGTTTTCCATTGGGAAAATTTTAGTGAATGGAACTCCAATGTTCAGTCTTTCCGCTATATCTGTTCAGTGATTAAGTCTCTTTTTAGCCCAATGGGAGGCTGATTTATTTCAAGCACGCTTAAAGAGAGGGAGCTTATGTTATTTAAGCGAAGATAATGGTATCATGCAATCAAGTCTTCCACATAAAAACTAGAAGGAAAGTGGTAGGAAAAACTGACAGGCACATGAAGTGGGAAGTCAGATTTAGACGAAGATTAAAAACAAATCCGAACGCGTGCGCACGTGGGTAAATCAGACCGGACCAGTCACACTGCAGATGATACAGTCGCGCTTAATCAATAAATTTTATCATTTAAGAATAAAGGAGGAGTGGAGGAAGCTTGAAAGAGAGGGTGGGTGGGGGGAGGGCTTAGTAACTATCTTCCCCCAGAAAAGAGGGCGGGGGGAGGTATTTATCAGAGAGGGAGCTTAATTAGAAGATTTACGGTATGCAAATCTTCACGGTTAACACAGCCTGTGTTAACTAAATTCTTTCAGTCAGCTACAATAATTTCAAAACGCTTCGACAGCTATGGTGATGTTGGCCCTTCGCGTGCAAAGACATGATCTGTGTCAAGACTTCCCTCTGTGATTGGCTGAGCAATATCGGGCCACTTTCCCAGTCGATCGGTATGACAAGCGAAACCGAGTTAGGCTCGAATTTCTTAACCTGTGATCAGCCGGTCCTCCATCCCTTTTCCTTTCGCGAACTTTCCCGAGAAACAAATGCCAAATTGAGGTCATTTATTTTACTTTATTTTTATTTTATTAGCCTCCCTTGCTTCTGAATAATGAACAATAATCGAGCCTACAGTGGTCCCAGATTACGAATTTATCAAACTCGTTTTACCACTCGTATGCAATGCGCACTTCACCGCATTACACCGCATTGTTTTGCACGTGTGCTTAAGTTCTGCTGAATTACTGTCAATCATAATTTAATATAAATATAAGCTTTCCCATTCTATTTTTGATATTTTCTTATCCTGCTAAATCCCTATAATACATATTAAGTATTTCGTCGTCGCCACTATTCTACGAAAGGTTCCTGTCATATAACTATAAATAGCGATAAGGACTCTCAATAGGATTTACGAGTGGTACCTCTTTCCTTGTAGCACCTCTCACCTCTCTAGTCACTATGATTCCGAACATAAGCAAGTAAGAGAAGAAATATGTTCCTCTTTTAAGCTTGCCAAACTTACTTATTATAAGTAAGCCGTCCATTATACATACAATTGTTGCACCCCCCTGGAGCTTAGGGGCAATTAGCCGGTTCTTAGAAGTTTAAAACTGCTATCTGGGGCTTATCGTAAATAGTTGTTAGGGTCAACAACTACATCTCATATCGTAACACTGAAATATTCACAGACAAACTTAAGACGAGCAAGTGACACAAAGTGTACATACACCGTCCATCCCACGGCCTGGCCAGTACCTGAAAAATGCTTCCAATCATTTTACACTGTTGCTTTGATTATGAATGTTTTTTAAACAAAAACCAAGTTGGCCAATTTTACAGACGCTATAAAGGAAGTCCAAGAGATGAAGGGCCAAGTTGTCGCGACCACATTATAATTTTTGGCACATTATATGACGTCTACCGAATGAAAAAAGTAAAGGGACATACCTGCCATTAGGGTCTTCACGGGGGAGCTCATAATATCCCGCTGTTCGAAGCAAGCAGAGTTAGCTCTAACCTTATATGCCGCAGTATGTCGCAGTTTACTCACCTATACACCTGCATGTATAAAGAGAGACGAACCGGAACAAAGTTGCCGGTGCCTAAAAACGCAAAGCCCCGACAGCATGGTTTTGAAGACCCTTGAGCCTAGACTTACACTCGAATCGAAGTTCACTATGTTAACCGCCTTGGCGCCACCACGCCACCTTCGTAACATGAAATGATCTAAAATGATCCAATGCGGGCTCCTAAATTAATATGCTATACTGATCTTAATTTATCCGAGTCCCCTTTTTATAGCTCCCCCTTCCCACCCCAGAGCTTTATTCCTTTCCTTGTAGGAGGGGCCTGGAGATGTTGCCATGTCTTTACTTTTGTTAAATCTCAGGCCTTCTTCCGACAAGGAACGTAGCTAGCACAAGGTCCACAAGCAGAAGAGACCTCTTATTAATTCCCTTGTGACCTCAAGAGTGGGTTTCTACAATCCACTTCTTTATGGTCAGTTTCCAATCAATCTTTTTCAGGGTACAAAAGAACAAACTCATGAGAAAGCACATGACCTCACCTACGATGAACGCGAAAGACTGGTAAACCCCTTCGAGTGCGTGTTGCATTATGGGTTACTAGCCTCGCTTCGTTCTCTTTTTCGTTTTCCACCATTTTTGTTCACGTGGTTGGAAGGTAACTCCGAAAATTTCTAAATTTTCAACGTTATCACGCGTATTCGTCGCTTTAAGTTAAACTTAAAATATGTTTTGATTATAGGGGTCCATAAAAATGGTTAATCCAACGGGTGTAAGGCGCGGTACGCGCTACATGTTCTCTCGAGGGTTCAAGAATCACGGTACGTTTTACTGCGAGTACCACTCGTCCGCTTGTTTGTTCGAGGTTTCTGGTCACAGTCTTTCAAAAGCTGGATAGTGTTATCCACTGGATAAACCATTATCTAGTAGATAACTTTTAGGGAGACCAATTGCAATGTCCACTGGATAGAGATTTATCCACCTTTGAACAACTGTGTGCCTGTGATTTCCCTCATCCTAGAGCTCAGTCAACCGTTTTCTTTTATGTTAAAACTTTTGTCAATTACACTATTATAATATCTTTCGGAGAATATTATGTGAATGCTAAATTGCACTGTTGTTTCGTTTTGCTGGAATGGATAGACGTGATACTCCTGATTGGTAAAACGTTGTCGCTTTAAAAATATACGTAAACCATGAACGATGGGAGGTAATGGATTTATGGGTAGAACTTTGTTAGCATTGCAGATTTAAAGTTTTTTTCAGAAATGTCTACATTATCGAAGCTTTTTGTGTCGACACATTCCAGAAAACGTCAAACTGTTTCCAGTTTTTATGACGATAACTTGCTCACAACTTCACCGGTGCTTGACACATAAGAGATGTTTACAGTTAAATAGCATAGTTATATCGCTAAGGCACACTTGAAAATCATAAAATAGGACCTAAAATTAGTGGTCTAGCGATTATGACTGTTCGGTTCGATTCACGATTCTTTGCTTCCAAGTTTCGATTTTGGTTCGATTTTTGCACGCCTTTTCCAGGATGCCCTTAGTGAGTTATTTTATTGTAAAATCAGAATCCAGAACGCTTTAAATTGTGTGTTTATGATTGATGAGCAAAGACGATAGCATTTCGTGCGCCATTTTGTGTTGCCTGGTAAAAATGCTGTCTTTCAACCACCCCTTGAGAATTTCCAAATAAGGCAAACTACCGGTATGTGCGACACGCTCTTTGTCAGGTTCTCAAACATGGCGACGAACCAAGCAACTGTGAATCATCCTGTCCCTGCTACTCTTCTCAAATTCAGGGTTTAGGGTTGCATGTTGTTTACATTACACGTTATGTTGTAAGAATTAAGAAACATTTACATGATCGAATCGAAATAATCGAAATCGAAAGGCAATAATCGAAATCAAATCGAACCGCAAGGAATATGAATCATTACACCCCTACCTACAATCTTTCTTGGAAGACAAAAAACGACAACAGCATACCTTAAACAAAGTACTCTAGGGATTTGCATCCGCACAGGCATCTCATGATAATGTAAACGTTTGTTGAAAGAACTTTGAATTTGCTTTGCTAATAAATGTATACCCATAAATCCTTGAAGCCTCATCATTCATGATTTATTTGTTTTAGCCACCACATTTTTTCAATCAGGTATATACCAGCTCGTTTTCTCACACATCTCCAAGATGGACATCTGGTGTTGCTCCCTGCCAGTTTTTGGTCATTTTACTGTAACTATACAGACAATGGACACTTAAGAAACCATCCATGGACAATTGAGAAGTGCTTTGTAAAGTGAAAAATACCTCAAAATAGAAATTTAGGTGCTCTGTAGAATACACAAGAATACCAAAGCTCATTGATAAATGAAAGGAGGTGAAGTAATGGCAGATATTTTCTTTGCTTTAGGTACAATCCATCTCTCAACTTATCTAAAAACCTTTAAAGTTGGTGATATTGTTGATATCAAGGTAGGACTCTTTATTTTGCATGTTTCAATATTAACACAACAACCTTAGAAAAGGCAGTCTGTGTCTAAAATCATTTGGCACTTAATTTGCCATTTGCGTGTCTCCTTCTGGTGGATACTGAAACAGTCATGAGGACTTAATATTTTCCATATTGTTCTGCCTCTTTGTTGTTTACTGTGAAAACAAAATAATGCCTTGAAATGTTTTGTTAACATTTATCGTTTTAATTGGCTCAAAACGACAATACATGCACTGTATTTGAGTGTCAATGTATTAAGCACAAAAGAACCAATTGAGAACACAATTTTTACGTCTCCTACTGGGTACAAAACCACCTTTTTATGTACAGTGTAGTCATCTGAACCACACAAAGATCTAGCTGTTTGCAGGGCAAGGGAAGTTAAGCTTTATTTCTCAGTTGATTTTAAGACCCTGAGTATTGGTCTGTGCCTGGGAATCGAACCTGTGACTTTCCTCTCTGCAGCCAAGTGCTCTACCAACAAAGCTAGTGCTGCCATGGGTAATATGATACATGCATATGGAAGTGATACATGCAGGTGTTTTTCCTTGGTCGTGTACATCTGTCTTGAAATGCATCCATGAGAAAAATTGTTGAGTGTGGTTTTTTGAGTACATCTTGAACATGAGTATATTAATTTTTTCTTACTGTTAAGGTAAATGGTGCCATCCACAAAGGAATGCCACACAAGGTGTACCATGGCAAAACTGGCCGTGTTTTCAATATCACCAAGCGTGCTTGTGGAGTTGTTGTCAACAAACAAGTCAAGTATGAGAGTTTTTTGTTTTCGTCATGCTCACCTAGTGATGCTACTTCGGCATTTCTCGAATTTGTTGGAGAATCACTGTTTCCAACATTTTCAAGGCAAAGTAAATAAGCGGCATGGTACAATTCCTGTATTCGTGATTCAAAAAAATTTAATTCTCTCTTGTTACGCTTAAATACATCAAATACGGAATTCTGCCTGTTGATGACTATGACTATTTGTGCTCTCACAAAGGATACCAATGCATGTCACTTCCTTTGACTCTAGACTGAAGTGTCAGTTACATGTATGTGCAAATTACCCTTCATTCGGCAGATTTCGCTGGAGACAAGAATGTTGCCTTTGATTTCCTAGATGCTTGCCTTTTTGGGCACTCTATTTTTTTTACTATCAAGATTTTTTTAAGTGTCGCTTCAGACTTTTCTTTCCAACATTTTAATGTGGGAAAGTTAGACTGTGACTGAATGGAGTCACCCAACACACTTTAAGACCGCATAACTTGATCTTTCTGGTATCGTTTGTTCTTCTATTGTCTCCAAAACAATCAAAATGTTTCACCAATTCCCACCTACAAATAATACATGTAGGAGATATTTGATTGACAGAAAAATTTGCATTTACTAGCGACACATTTCAATAGGCAGGATTTTGTAATGTAATACCTAATAGATGGTTTTCACAGTGACGTCATCTAATTGTAAAGTCAAAATAGCGAGGTTTTACGAATTCTTATTTACACTAGGTTGAAGATAAACAAAAAGTAAATCTTTGTACAAGTTTCCATTCCCGTAGCATGTTTCATTTCGAAAATACAGCAATTTGAACTTCCGAATTTTCACAGCGCGTGACATCAAAATAGGAATGCTGTCTCGTTGAAAAAAGAGCCTCACCTCTTGATTTTCAGCAGTATAACGATTTTAAGTTTGAGAAGACATGTTTATACGCACGTACGGCTAGTTCTTGAGTGAAAAGAAACAGCTTTTAAAGGAAAAGTAAAGTCCAGATGTTTTTGTTGATTTCCGGCGGCCATATTGGTGGACCAAAGCGGTCCACCAATATGGCGTCTCCATACAAAGCTCTACAAAGTTGCGTGAAACGTTTCGGCAAATAACTCACAAACTGTGGGCCACAAAGACCGGAGACTTGGACAAATTGTTTATATATTAGTCTTTTATAACATTTCATCTTCTTGGCTTCCTCCACAGGATGGTTTCCAATTTATTTTTTCGTTGCGTGACAGTGAAAACGATCTATATAATGTAATGACCATTAAGGATTTTTTAGGGAGCATACCTCCTGACTTTGAGTGTTTACTACACTGGCATTAACAAAGATATCGGAAAAAGGTTACCACAGCTGCACTGTATAAAGATGAAAATTTGTTATGATCCATGTTTTATTGACATCAGAGTTACCATGGCAACACAATGATGCCATTTCATTTTTTACATGCCTTTGTATTTCTCAATACTTAGAGTTTTATTTTTCAGAAATCGCTAGCTTCTACCTCCCTTAGTTGCCTCGGTTATGGCAAAGTTTGAACAAAAAAAATCCAGTTGAGCCACCTTAAATTGTTTGAAACTTATTAACTGATTTTTTTGTGGGACATAATTTACATAAATCTCCTTGGGGGTTTGTTGGGGGGTGGGGGTTTTCTTACTAGTTATAGGCCAATGAGGTTGTGCTGCTGGATGGAGTCATGTCTTCTAGACTAGGTTGACTATCATGATGTTGTATTTTCAATAGAAACAGAAACTGACTACTGTAAGTTGAGATCATGGAAATTAGGATCTAAATTAGCCACAGAATATAGATTATAATGGGATATGGGTTCTTAAAGGCCAGCAAAAATTAAGCCAAGTACCCCCCTCACACTTTATGAAATTTTGTCGAGTGCTATTTAAATAGTCAACAACAACGAGGATGACAGAACGAAACAAAAAAGAAAACAAAGGATAATTATTTTAATAGGAATGGCAAGAAAATAATGTTGAGTAAAGGAAACTAATTGTTTAGTACTAGCTCCCTGTTGAAAGCTGCTACATGTAATTATAGATGTTATGTTTTTATTTCTGCAGGGGAAAAATATTGGCGAAGAGTATAAATGTACGAGTCGAGCACATCAAGCACTCAAAGTGCAGAGATGACTTCTTGAGGTCTGAAAATAATCTTTTTTTTCTTTAGTTTTAGAAATTCAGGGGTTTCAATATTTAATTTAAAGTAGGAAGCTGGTTTGAGTAGAGTAACCTACTATCAACATGGTTTGATTAAATGTTTCTATAATACTTTAAGTCAGCTGGAAAGGGTGGTGACAAGTTTCCCTGAGAAATGAATGTGATACTTTGTCATCACATTATAAGCACAATGTAGATTTGATTGCATTACATTCATTTTGCAGCATTTGGTTTTCTTTTCTGACAGCAATATTAATTTAATTATGCTACCTGATATACCCATTAGTTATCGAGAAAATGAATGCCCCAAGGAAGTAAAGGGTAAAATTTGTTCTTGCTTTTGTTTCCTATTATTCATAGGAGACAAACGAGATTAACAGGTTTTACTGACACCATAGTTACAGTATTCACCTTAAACAGTGTTGGTAATAATGACAGTTGTGCTTTACAGGCGTGTCAAGGAAAATGAACAGAAGAAGAAGGCAGCCAAGGAAAATGGTGGACTCAAGGTTGACTGCAAGAGAAAGGTGTGATTCTTCTCCTCAGCAGTTTGTTTGACCCTCAATTTTTTTTCTGATCTTCCCTCTGTCCATCACGCGATTCTTAGACATGTCACAAGTTCAGTGAAAAATGTCAACTGCTAAGACTTGCCTGTCCTTTTTAAATACTACCGGCATCACTTAACTGTTAGTAACAGAAAAGCAATTGTTTTCACAGGTTCAGTTTCCCTTCAATTTTCCCTATTGCACAGCCTTGTGAGTTGTTGTATAGCTCACATGACCATTCTGAGGGCCCAGTTGGTAGTGTGACTTTCTGTTTGCAGTTAAAATGGCTATGAATCTTTTGGAAAAACTTTTTGTTGTGGCAAATCAGTTGGAAAAGATGCAAGGTCACTGAATGATATTTTGATCAGAGGTGGAAATCTACAAATGACTCCCAGACATCTACAAAAGATTAGGTTTTCTAGTCTTTTCAGATAAGGGGGATAAATTGTACGCCGCATCTCTTTATCCTTGCACATAAATTAAAAAACCCACACATTGTTTGTGATGATTAGGGGATGTAGTCCTCAGTGTGGTGGTCTATCTCAAATTCACATTCACATTAGGGAGCATCATCAGTCATTTCTTCATTACTTTTAAACTGCGGCTTAAGCAGTCTGGCAAAAGTCCCCCAACCAGTGTTTGACAATTATTATCCCTGAAAAGCCTTTAGGGGATAGGACAATAACATATTTACAATTAAAATGGTTACAATGGAGTTAGGGGGTCTGAAGGGTTATCTGGCTTGCTTCAATGAGAATTTCCCTACACCTGGTCAAGGCAGTAGAGTAGCCAACTGAATTAAAGTTATGTAACATGATAACCTTAAATATTTAAGTTTTCTTTTCCTAATTACCAGTATTATGTAATAATTAACATTGTGACTGAAAAGCCCTGTTGAAGGGAGTCTCAATAAAGTATGTATGTATGTAACTGAAGGGCTCCTTGCAAAATGTCCTCCAAAGAGGAAACGAAGGAGCAGAATGCAGTTTGCATAAACCTATTCAATTTTTTTGTGACAAGGTATGCATGTACCACTTCCTAAATCTTTTATTTTTCCTTTTTTTTTTCAGCCCACTCCTCCACGTCTTTCACACTTTGTTCGTACCAAGAGAAACACTCCAGAAACATTGGAGCCAATCCCATATGAGTTTGTTGTCTGAAAATGTGAAATAAACTTAAAGGAATTAAGTTTGGTTGTCTTTTTATTAAGTAACAGAATTTTTAAAAATTATTAGACTGCTTTGAGCTTCCTATTGTTCCATATAAGATTGTTGAGATTAAGTGCTTATTCACCAGGGTTGCCACTCCTTACAGAAAGCACCCGAACTCACTGTGGCTCATAGGAACAAAACACTTCCCAGAATCCAGAACACGTCCCAGAATCCCAGAACACTTGCAAGAATCCAAAACCCATCCCAAAAAAACAAAAACACACCCAAGAATTCAAAATACTTCCCAGATTCCAAAACACTTTTGGATTCTGGGAAGTATAAGGATAAATTTGAACCACAACATAATTTTCATACATTGGAGCAATCACATCTTTGTCTGGAATTTTATCGGTACAATTTAAAAAACCATGTATTTGCCCGTGAGTCCCTACACATTTTACTGAAAAATGCCATTTGAAGCTAGTTGAGCAGCTCTTAGCCTGTATAGGTAAAAAATACCTTGAACTGACTGCTATGCAGGCTGAGCCACTCTCTCTCGTTCTGCAGAGCCTCAACTCAACTGACTGAAAAGGGACTGCCTGCAGTCCAAACTAGACATCTTACTGAGAAATGCCATTTGAAGCTGGTCAAACTGCATAGCAGGTGTGTGGTTTTGGTATGTTTTTGTGCAAAAACACCCTCAGCCAACTGCTATGCAAGTGAACCCTTTAAGTCCCATTGGTGACCTACATCAATTTTCTCCCAATGACATCCATACCTTGTTAAGAGATAAGGTTATGAGAATGAACGACATGATCACCAAAGAGAAAATGCTTTGATCTTTTATCAGTTCTCTCAACTTATTCTATTATGATCAGTTTGGAGCAGGGTTGTCACTAAGATTTCACGTTGCCGGGTAAACACAACAAGTAGGCGGGGAAATCAAACAGCTAGGAATGTTGTTTGGTTCTATTTTCTGATAAAAGTAGCCGGGGGCCACACTCATAGTAGCCGGGGAAAATCACCGGCCCCCGGCTCTTAACGACAACCCTGTTGGAGAATTTATTTTTTTGCTCGTGGATATTGGGGTTTAAAGGGTTCAGCCACTATCTCTAGTCCAGGTGCTGGGCCTCAACTCAACTGACTAAACGGACTGCCTGCAGTCCAAACGTGGCCTCTTTTGCTCTCTCGTGTCCAATGCCTTGTTGGTTGCACCTTATGCTCTTGGGAAAGAAACCGGCAACTTAGCAGACTAAAAAGTTACCTGATTAAAATACACTTCATCCCCTCTTATCCTAAGCAACCCTTATGTAGACAACTAGCCTGAGAAAACACCTAACATTTGGTGACGCTACCATTGGTTTCCCTGCCAAATGATGTCTGAGAAATGAGCACAGAAATTCCATACTGATGACATTTCAATACCAAGATCTGGGAAGTGCACCTGATTGGTTGAATCAAATTTCCCATGTGGCACAACCAATCAGATGCACTACCCAGACCTGGGTAGTGACATGTCATCAGTATGGAATTTCAGCACTTGTTTCTCAGACGTCATTTTTGCTTTGAAACCAGTGGTGGTGTAGCAAAATGTTGCCTGTTTTCTCAGGCTGGGGTAGACAACCCAATCAAAATCCTATCACTCCCCCTTTAATAAATGATGATATCACATTAGGTATGAGGGTCAAAAAATGGGTTAAAGAGTCAGAAAAATTAAACACCAACAAGTAAACCATTTGCATTTTATTCATCAGCTGCAAAGATAATATTAACGAGGCCTTCTAAAGGGTAGAACGGACAGGCGACATGCCCCTGAAAACTGGTGACAATGCTCTTGGAAAGAACCTACCATCAACAGAAAAGAAGGAAAGAATTGTCACAGCGACAATCAATTTTTTAAGTAGTGAATGCGACTTTTGTTCACTTTTGCATCATGGCTGTTTTGGTAGATAAAATTAATTTTTAATTATTTCCTTTGGAACATTTTCTTATTATGGTTTTGTTCGAGAACAGTCCCTTGAAGGAGAACAGGTAATAACCATATTAATTTCTTTTTTCAGGCAGTATATCCACCGTAAATTTTAAATTGAGTGTCTCAAATTTATTCTGAACTGACAGTGAAATTTAACGTTTGTCCCGTCCCAGCTAAAATGTGACAGCAACGTTTTTTTCCTAACCTACCAGGCAATGGGTAGTCTCAGAATTGGATGACAAAGAGACAACATACCCCTTGGAAGGCCCCAGAAACCAGGTCACTTCAATTCACTTTTCTGTCATCCCTTCCACAAACTTATCAAAGTGCTCCAATGATGATCCACAAACTTCACTTGCAAATTCCTTATTCTTGGTTGTCATAATCTGACCAAGGTCACAGTCATTCAAAACAGTTGGCTTGTTGGCTTTCAGGAATTCCACCCTCTCCTTTAGGTGTGAAAGTGGTTTCAAAAGGCATGCAGGATTGTTTTTTATACTTTCCATTGTTATTCCATCAACCTTTAATAGGTACTCAACTTTTTCTGACAATTCCTGCTTTTCCAAAGAAAAAAAGTTTTTTAAAGTGATCAGACCGCGCATCTCTTTGTAACCAATACCAAGATTTCGAAAGCACTCAATAATGTCTTCCATCTTTGTGTTGCTTTTTTCAAATACAAAACCTGACTGTACAATAATTATATTGTATAGTGCTGTTGGACTTTTGACTATATCATAAATTAACTGCACCCGATCATACATCACTTCAGCATCAAAGTTTACAAACAGTTCTGATCTTGATGTCAAAAGCTCCTGAACTACCTCCATTTCCAACAAGAGTGGTTTGCTAGTGAAAAATTCAATAGCGGTTCTCAAAGTATCAACATCAGTATTAAACACCATGGGATTCTTAGCTGCAATGATTAATGGAGACACTTGCATTTCATAAAGAAAGCTTATTACTTGCTTAAATTTGTCTTGCAAATTGACTTGTTCTTGAGATTTTTCTAGAGGCTGAAGTAGTAGGTCTAGCACTGCCTTTTCTTCATTAACATTTTCTTCAATAATAACGTCATCACACTTCAGCTTTTTGTGGCAATCCAACAGAAGCTTAATCAAATCCAGGCTATCGTCCCGTAATGGAAAACTCAAAATGAGAGGGTGTTGGCTGACTAGCTTGCCAATGATCATGTATTCTACCCCAGCATTTGTAAGTCTTTGTATGTTTTCTGTCACCCTTGCATATTCAAGACCAAAAACGAATGGGGTTCGACACATCAGTCGAACAATGTCACAGTTTAGATCCAAGAGAACTTTTAATATTTTAGAGAAGTTAGGGCAATCCCAGGATAGGATAGCTGGAAATTCGAGGGAAATGATCAAGGCGTCTTTCCCCTTGATTCCCATTTGCGATAAGAATTTAAGTCTTTCTTCTAGAAGATGAGTTGTAAGACCAAGACATTGAAGAGATCCAGTCTTGAAACCACCGGAGACATTCAAGTTCGGATTTTTAGGTTGTCTAGTCAGTCGAGACCACGATTTCAGAATGGTTCCCTTACCACGAGCTGTGGATTCTTCTAGTTTCTTCACGTAGTCGTACAAGCTCGAATTTTCGTGATAAGGGATCTCATATTCCTTTAACGATGAGCTTACAGTCGTTGATTTCTCTCTCCTATCCATGTGGCTGTGGCGTCCTACGCGATTGTCGTTCCCATCCTGCAGTTTGTCGATTTCATGGCCTACAAATTTCTCGCCGTCAACAGCTTTAGAAAAATATCTTAAACACAAAAAAGGACGATTTATGCGCCAATTAGAAGCAAAAGCTGTACAATTAGAACAAACTTCACTGCGAATGAAACGCAACCACAAGGCAGCCATCTTTAAATAATAGGAGTGAGGAATGGAAACAAATGTAAATGCACCATTTCATGCAGTTTACATGAACGAGAATGTACAATATTGCACCATTTTCAAGATGGCCGCCGACGGAAGGCCAAATAGCGCATTGTTTTCCCCGGCTTTGCATCATCTTTCCTAAAAAGAGAGTAATTTTTCGAAAAAGAACAAAATTTAAATTTTTCACTTTCAAGGGCGGCGTTTTTCTTCGGTGTTCCCAAAGGTTGTCAGACAAAAAGTCCCATTGAATGAGACCGGAAGTCCGCTGTGCATTTGCGTGCGCACTTTTTTGCTTCACGTGGTCCGGAAGCCATTTTGATTTACCGGCCAATTTTTAGAAACATTCTAGTTTGTCGTTTTTATTTCGAGTCATGGCTGCTCGTGGAAAACAGAATCAAGAGACGCAAGATAAACTCACTCGAATTGCCATAGTGAGTAATGACAGATGTAAACCGAAAAGATGTAGACAGGAATGTAAGAAGAGTTGTCCTGTTGTTCGAATGGGTACGTTTTATAATTTTTACTCCTTTTTTAGCTCAATCCTTAAATTGTGTTTTATCTTTTAACTTGAGACATGAAAATGGATCTATGTCTCGTTTTTCTTTTGACAGGGAAACTCTGTATTGAAGTAGAACCCACCAGTAAGATTGCCAAAATTTCAGAATCGTTATGTATTGGTTGTGGCATTTGTGCTAAGGTAAGACTTCACAAGATTATGGTAAAGTCTTGCATTTAAATTCTATGAAACTTTACTTAATCCCTGTAAAAGTAAAAGCACGTAGCATTAAGATCAAACTTTTTTAAACCTCATCATGAAGTGAATCTATTAACGAGGAATAATGGGGGAGGTACGGGAGGGTAAATCCTCCTCTTCCCTTCTTTTTGGGACAGTTTCTTCCTCCTCCCTAAAATTGGTTTAAAAATTGGCGGCTGGCAACACACGACCCCTGCACTTAGTTGTAAAGGAAGTATAATGACCTTCCGAGCTTCGCCTCTACATTAACTTACCACACAAAGAGGGCCTAACCACTGTATGTATGCATACAAAGATTTTTATGGAGGGAAAGCCCATATACCTGCCTCCGAAGGTACTCCCTTATAGGGGGTATGTGCCACCCAAAGGGGTTGTGATTTTGAAGCTCCTGATTTAGAAAGGGGTATCCATTTCAGAGGTGTTTCCTAGAATGGGGTATAATATTTCGAACGCACGAAAGCTCTCCACTTTTGTAAGCAGCCATTTGGAAGTATTCAAGGACCGATTGCTTTTAAAAATACGGTTCAATGCGTTGACAAGCAAACCATTGTACTCTTGTTGCACCCTAGAACGGAGTATAAAAAATTGGCCCATCTCTAGAATGGGGTGTTAGTTTTAGTGTGAATTCTAGAACGGGGTATAAAGAATTGGCCTATTTCTAGAACGGGTTATCAATTTTAGGGGAAGTTTTTTCTAGAACGGGGTGCCAATTTGGAGTCCCGGGCGGCACATACCCACCCAAAAAATACCCAAGTGCCCCCGGGATAGCTGGTCTGAAAGTGGTTATGGATTTAAGAGGCCAGGTCTGAAAACAGGTGTGGAAAATAACATTTTTTAGGCTGAAACGGGGTCAGGATTTGGAGAAATGGGTGGCACACGCCCACTGGAAATTCCCGGGAATACCCCCCATGTACCTACCAAGTATCTCTCTATCTTATGTTAAAAGAAAACTCATACCAATTTCGCGGTAGCAACTACCTGAAGACCAGTGGAACAGCCATGGGAACAAAGAAGGCCATTGCTTTTGCTAACCCCTTCATAGCGTGAATAGAAAACCAAATACTGAGTCAGAGTTGTATTGAACCTTGTCACCAGAGGATTTTTTCTCGCATGTGGTGGGAGGCTTCAGTGTTGGCTGCAGGCCGACAGCAAAACCGCAAACCGTGCGTAAAAAGTCTCTGGGCACCCAGGGTAATTGAACCATTGTTTTGGAAACAATATATTGACAATGTGTATTCCCTATGGAACACAAGTCTCTAGAGACAAAATAGGGAGCTAAAAATAATTGTGGAAAAGGCAAATAACTTTCACTCTGCTTTCATATTCACGGCTAAGATGTCAGAAATAGAGATCTCTTTCTTGGACGCAAGAGTGTACAAAGGGGTTAGATTCAACAAGCAACCAATCCTTAGACGTGCAAACACATTATAAACCAGCCAGGGGCCCATGAACCTTAAGAAGCGATTCACGTACTCATGTGAACCACCAGGAGTGAAGAAATCTTCTTTAAAGGAGAAACGCTCAGGACTGATATGATTCCTCTCAAACCACTTAAATTGAGGAAAATATCAAAAATTTTAAAATTGCATGATAGAAAGAGGCTACCCTGTCCCAATTGTGAAAAAGTACCTCTCTGAGTTAAAATTTGCCGATAGCAAAACAGCTCTTCAACAGAGCAACAAATCTGCACGTAAAAAAACTACAACCTTTTGTTACACTATACCACCCGGCTTTACTTAGACTGAAGAGAATACAATGGGAAAATAGCACCTTATAAAAAACCAACATGGCTTAAGAGAAATCTTTAAGGAGCCTCCCCTCATATCATATCACTAGGGAAAATCCATTAAGGACCTATTAGTTAGAGCAAAGCAGATAACTTCCCTTATGACTGAGTGCAGGAGTTGTGTGTTGCGACTGCTGTCGCCAAGTTTTAAACCTGGTAACCTGAGATGTGTCATTTTCCCCTTTCCCCCATCCCTTGTCATGATGCAAGTTAAAGAAAAGTCATAAAGTTACCTTCTCCCAACACTTCATTTTCTCCCTCCTCTCTACTTTTTCGGGCCATTTCTCCCTTCTCCCTATTATGTACCTCTTCCCTCAAAAATGTCTGTACATGGCTTTTACAACTATCCTATTAATACTCATCTACATCTACATTCATAACTTGCAAGATCCTAAATCATCTCCTGACTCATCTCATGAAAAATCAAGAGTCCCAGTCCAGTATCAGTCCCAGTTCAAAACCCAATAAGTCGTTACGAAAAAGCATGAGAAGACACAAAGGGCTTGCACTGTAAGTATCCCGGAGAGCTCCATACAATTCCTTATAATTTTGTTATAAGGAATTGTATGCAGCTTTCGAGGAGACTTTTCTTAATTAGCTTAGGCGCGGCGGATTTTGTCACGTATGATCAGCGCGAGGTGTTTTTCCCGACACCCTTCTGTCAGGAAAATGTCATCATATGAAAGCAAAACAGACACGATCTCGTCGGCAGGCCGAAGCCGGCAAAAATAAAAGGCTTTTCTTCTTCCATTTCAGAGGTCAGTTTTTTTTGATCTGGTCAAAAATCGGGTTTTTAGGTTGTAGGTAATAAAATATTGTCTTATTCTGTTCTCAAGGACCTTTAGAAAACGAGACAAACGAGATAATTGTCTAGAGAAAGAAGCAAGAAAACGCTTTCTTAGAAGAAAATATTTTTTAATTCCCGCAGCGATTTTGCGAAATCGCGAAGCGCAATATATTCAGTTTCTTCCAAAGCCGTCATGATTAAGCAGTGTAATGCCATCTCAACTAAAAATGAATATAGTTTGTATCGCAAAAGCCGCGAAAATAGAGCTGAAAAAAAAAGTGGATCGGAAAAATTAATAAAATCACCAAGAAACCGTCTTGCGGGAGCTTTGTTAAACAAACCGTTGGTATGGTTTATGAAACCGAACCTGGAAAAGGAGACGTCTGCACACAGAATACATTTCATCCTACATGTAGCTGTGATTTCCAGAACGGACCTCGGGAGCCTCATTGCCGTAATATCTTCTACATTACAGAAACCACAGCAGAATCGCCCTGCTTGCGTGCTAACTTTCTGCTCCAATTATGACTATACAGTACCAGTGAATTGTTTCAAAATTTAAAGCGGCCGAAACTTATTTACATCAGCGCGTAGTTAGTTAGTTAAGCAATAATAATGCACAGCACTGTAAATAACACGGTTCTAGAATATCTGACGGCTTCGCGTTTTGTTCGTCGCTGTATGCGATTTAATCGCTTATAACCTAACAGAAAATGTAAATGTACCTGAAGGAAATACCGTGTATTACCTTACCTTAACGCTGTGATGTGTGTAAATTTGTCTTTTGCTATGGTTTTAGACAATACGACTTCTCCTGACTATCAATTGTGCGTCAAAACAAGCGCGATAATGAAATGGTCGAAGTGCCATGGTGTAGCACTTTATGACAAAGTTTTAACTGGAAAACTTGTTACCACCTGATGTACACCTGTATAGTCTATGTTTGTAAGCTCTGCCTAAAGAATCACTGAGTTACACTGCACCCATGGGTGTGCCACCTAAAGTGCAGCCTATGTTTGTTAGGTCTATACCTAAAGAATCACTGCGTTACACTGCACCCATGGGTGTGCCACCTAAAGTGCAGCCTATGTTTGTTAGCTCTACCTAAAGAATCACTGGGTTACACTGCACCCATGGGTGTGCCACCTAAAGTGCAGCCTATGTTTGTTAGCTCTGCCTAAAGAATCACTGGGTTACACTGCACCCATGGGTGTGCCACCTAAAGTGCAGCTTATGTTTGTTAGCTCTACCTAAAGAATCACTGTCTTACACTGTACTCACGGACGTTTGCCTCACGCTCTCTTCAAAGACAAAAAAGCTGTAGTCTGTTTGGCCAAAAATCAAGCTTTGTTTCCCCTAAAAATTTGACACCATATTAGGGCCCCGAAAGACGTTAAAAGTTCCTCCATAATAGAAGAGTGTTTTGCTAGAGTTAAGAAACGTTTGGCTTACATGAGTTTCAATATAAAGGTGCAAAAACCTATCAGCATAATTATAGCACACAAACATTGTCATCAAACTCCTGGCATGTAGCCTGAATAACTCAAGCAAATATGAATAAAGCATGTAACGAGAAATCTTCGTCAAATGGTCTCGTTAAGTAAATTACACTTCACTTTGCGAAAGAAATTTATCGTTTGTATCCGTTTTACGCATCGAAAAAAGCGAGGAGTCATCGCATGACATTAGGTAACAGAAGTAATACTCACGAGTTTCACGAATTCCAATTCCACGATTTTTCGCCGAGTAACAAATTTAAAACTTCAATTCTTACCTTACAGTGGTCGGTTCATTTACCTTACATTTGCCAACACTAATAAACATGAACAAAACGATGAAATCCGGCACTCTTCTTTCAGAAGTAGCAAGCCGCATGAAGTAAAATCCACCGATAATGCGCTGCATTCTCACTACAAATATAAACATTTGTCGTGAACAAAATACGACGAGGAGGAAAAAATGCCAGATCTTCGCCTCGGCAATGTATTCCAGCTACCAAGCCGGCGTATCTCCAGAAGGTGGACTCGACGTGGGACAAACCTTGTGATTTTTTTAGGAGCCCTTTGCGCGCAAACTAATTTATTCTGGCGCGAAATGAAGATTAAGAAAATGTATCTGAAATCTAATACGCGACAAGAAAATTTTCGCACTTTTGAGGAGCGCGACATATTAAATGGGATTAAGTCGGATTAGCTGCCCGCGGAGAAAACATCGCTGCGTGGGATGGTACTTCCAGTAAAAAGCCTCTGTGTCCTCTCATGTGCCAGAACTCTCATGAAACCAGACAATCACATTTAATCTGTAGTCAACTTTCTGTGGAGCAAAGTTTTCCAGAAGGGATCATTAAGCTTTATGAAGGAACAAGTCTCATGATTGGCTGAAAGTCTGCAAGGTCTACTTATCCCTGTATTAGTGTACTGTTATTATTACAGTCTTCTTGACAAGAAAATAATATTCTAATTTTGTAATTTCTCCTTATGTTAGCAAGCCCAAAAGACTTAACAATTGGTTAGAAACTGTCTGCCATCTTGGTTCAGCCATGTGCTTTTCATAATTATATAGCAAACATATTGAGTAACCACTCCATCAGTAAAATAAACACGGCCACTTTAAAAAAAAATAGTATCAGAGAATTTGCATTGAAATATTTCTGTCTATCCGTTCAGAAATTATTCTTGGCCTATTTATGTGAGGACATAATTAGTACTCTTTTGTCTGGAGGGACCTTTTCAAATCACGCAAACAGAATATTCTTCAGAAACATTTTTTGGTTGATCAATCGTTGCATCCCATGAGATGCAAGCTGTCAATCACTCTGCGTCCGTGAGAATTTTTATGCATCAGGGACATAGGATGCAGACAAAATCACTGCGACAGGTTTTGGAATTCAGACTAGGAAGATACTTACCCCAAGAGGGCCTCAGGAGGATGTTGTTTTGTTCATCATAGAAGGCTCTGAGTGACATAGCTACCCCCTTCAAGTGTGACTCTTGAAAACCCTCTCCCTTTCCCACGGATTTCTAGGTACCTTAATTAGGGGTGGGGGCTGGGATGGGTGCAGACGTTAAATGAAATGGCACACACATGAGAAGCTACTTTGTATTAATAAATTAATCAAGCCATTTTGAGGGGGATTTTACGGGGGTGCTGAACACTAAAGTAGACCATGCCCTCCCTATATCTCCATAATTATATCTTTTGGGAAGGAGGGCATGGCACAGTTATTTACCAGAACACATGAAAAAAAAAAAGAAAATTTCCAGGATCTGGAGTTGTTTCTGATTGGTCCAAACAACAGTTCTATTCCAATTGGAGGAAGATTAGGTTTGATCTCCCATGGGATTGCGACCCTTGCAGTTTTAAAACAACCAATGTTCATAGTCAACATACTCTCCCTGGCTTTAGTTTTTCCCCAAAACTGGTCCTTGTTTCCTCGCATTGACACCCATATCTTAATTTAGCAGCTCCCGACCTCTGTTTAAATATTATAATAATTTATTGCAGTTAAACTTAGCCTGCGAGCAAGCTTTCATGGGGCGCTCTGGTGGCGGGGCGGGAAAAGTAAGGAGAGCTTGCAACTATGTTTCTGGAATTTGAATATCTACGTCAAAAAAGTTGTTGCAAAATGCTGATTCCTGGAGATGACATAGTAATGACTTCATTACCCTTGGCACATGTTTTTCGATGTTTGTTTACATTCGTGCTTGTTTCCGCTTCACGCTGATTGGCAGAAATCTGACAGCTCAGTCAGTGGGGAGCTACAGGGGAATTGGAGGTGGAATTTAAATTCCAGAGACACAGTTGCAAGCTCCTTTCCTTCTCCTGCCCTGCCGCCAGAGCGCCCCGGAAAGCTTGCTCACAGGCTAAGTGGAAACTCCGGGTACAAACCACCTCCTGTAAGCGACCACTAACTCTTCGCATTTTTGGTGATCGCTTAGGGAAGGTACGACTGTATTTCTTCATGACTAATGCAGATATTATTATTTTGCAGAAATGCCCTTTTGAAGCAATAACCATTATTAATCTCCCAAGCAACCTTGAAAAGGAAACCACACATCGCTACAGTGCTAATTCATTTAAGCTTCACAGGTTTGTTTTAGCTGCATAATTGACTACTACATAATATTAATTTTGTTTGTAATATTTACGTGTAGTTTTAGTTTTGAAAATTGAAATATTTTTCAATTTGAGAAGAGAAATTTCATATAAATCTCCAAGTGGTCATGTCATGTTCTGTTATATTATTAAATAACAACCAATGAAATGCCAAATCATTTCACTATATTTTTTTCAGCTGCGAAAGGCAGGATTTATTATGTAGCCATAGCAATGGTGATATTTTCACATGTGAAGGTAACATGTTATTTTCATGTGTGAAGATATCATGTCTCTGGTATTCCATTGGTGATAAATTTCTGTATTTCAGAAAATATTGATGCTCCCTCCAAGGAGGGTTTTTGGTTTGAGCCTTGTTTAACCACTCTGGAAATTCCAAATTACACTTAAGAACTCCTTCCCCCTGAGAATTTCCACTGACCATGACCCCCATGGGTGGGTATAGATATTTTCTGGAACTGCACATTTTTTCTTGCTAGTAGAAGTATAGGAAAGAGAGACCTCTGGTGGCCCCCAGTGCATTTTCTATCACACATGTACTGGCATTTCCTTAACAACCACCAACGTTTTAGTCACATGCGACACAACTTACAGTTGTTTACAGAACCGGTTCACGCGATAACAACTGTGAGCTCAGAAATTTTTAGTGTGCAGTCTCAACAGGGTATGCACATTCTACGTTAGACGAAACTAGTTTTGAAAACCGATAAGTTTCAACCACACATGTGGTCAGTGGCAATGGTTGGGACCAACAGAGATCTCTCTCTTTATGTTTCCTCTCCTTCTTCTCTTGCCTTGAGAGGCCTTTGCTAACACTGACATCATACAATGACATTTTATAAAAATAGTAGGTGAAGTGACGGTCCTTCCAACTTTGATAATAATCAGAAAATAAAATGACTTTTTCCCTCTGTTGTAGGTTGCCAATTCCAAGACCAGGGGAGGTCCTTGGTTTGGTAGGCACAAATGGTATTGGCAAATCTACAGCACTGAAGATCTTGGCTGGCAAGCAGAAACCTAATCTTGGAAGGTTTGATGTAGGTTGTAGAATAGGCTGTTTTCTTAAGGTCAAACCAGGGGGTACTTACCATTTACATCAGACCTACCAACTCTCATGATTCTGCTGTGAGTCTCACAATTGTTTAACATTTCTCATGGCCTCATAACAACACTCCCAATGCGCAATGTCACGTTTTTTCAAAAATATCATTCTCAAATGAAATGTTATATTGTAGAATAAAAACAAAATTTTGTGCAGATTCCTAGTGCCTGTTTAAGCCTTGATAGTAGTTTGCCTAATACTCCTTCTTTCCTAAAATACTACTCGCCATATTATCTGGAAGAAACGACTCTTTGATGACATCTTCCCCTGGCACCCTCTTAGAGTCATCAATGAATGAAGAAAGCAAAGCATCTAAGTAAGCATCCTTGTTAAAAAATATGGCTTGCACGGCCGCCAATCGTTTTAATTTTCTGGAGGGTTAGGTATGCTTTAGAGGATTTTAAGAAATCACTGGGCTACATGAGTGTTTTTAAAATAATAAACTTTTCAAATGGACCATTTTCAAGAAAGCCATTCGCTGGGAAGGTTATGTTGTCTATTTTGTCTCTATACTGCATGATTTCCCGTTATCATCTTTCGCGTTGTGGTCATCCTTTGCATTTGTATGTATGCACTATTTATCTCTATTACCACACGATACATTTTTCTATTTCCCATTATAACAAAGGCTAGGGGGTGAAGAAAGCTGACATTTTATTTCAGACTATAGCTTTCCATAAAGTCACCAGATCTGAAATATTATTTGACCGTTAAACAAATGTAATAAGAATTCCCTGCTCTCAAGTCTCAATGACTATGTTTTGTCACGCTGAACTGCTAAGACTGCTAATGGTTTAGGTTTTGCAGTATACTGATTCAGCACAATACCAGCAGCTGATGTCAGTCAAACATTGATACTTTCAAATCAAACTTCACATACAGGGATTTTCCCTTCAATATAAACACACTTGTGTAGAACTCAAGATCGTAGATTTTAGTGAGTGTTGTCGAATTTGGACGAGACCCAACCAGGGTCTCTCTCTCTCTTGCTCTGTAGAGATGGGTAGGAAAGAACCCTGGGAACGAGGTTGCAGATTTCCTTTAACCCTTCAAGTCCTAAGAGTGATCAGTATCAAAATTCTGCTTGTGATATCAATGCCCTATAAAACAGATTGGTGATGAGAATCAAGAAGGTGATCACACAAGTTACAATGAGTTGATACTTTAACAACTTCTTGCTACCGCTTTTATAGGAAACATATAGGGACAGCAAATGGGAATTTGAATTTTGATATTAGGGCTTAAAGGGTTAACGAGTCTCAGGCCATTCCATTTGGGAAGCTTCAGAAAATATGGACTGTGATTTGAGGCAATGAAATTTTGTGACTTCTTTTAGTGCATTCAGCTGATTTGGGTATACTTTGTAGGGGATCAGTTTCCCAGCTCATCCAGTTGTATAGTTTTATGTTTATGCACAAGATTTCCACTTGGGTGGTTTGTGTAAATGGTAATCACCCCAGATGCGTTATTGGCTTTCACTGGGCTGCATTAGGTGTAAGGATTGTTAAAATGTTTTAGGTGAAAGTGAGATTCTGGTTAGAATGTTCTCACTTCAGATTTTTTCTCAATATTACATGTGTTTCCAACCCCTAATTATTTCCATAAGATAGTTCAATCATGCCTTGTTTCTAATTCAGAATCCTCCAGACTGGCAAGAAATACTTCTGTATTTTAGAGGATCTGAACTGCAAAACTACTTCACAAAGATTTTAGAAGATGACTTAAAGGTACTGTAATAGCATTGAGTTTGTATTTTAAATTAAATGGGTCCAAAACACAGCCTGTGTACTGCTGCCCATTTCCCCAGAAAGGAAATTGGGGAGAAAGATGTCTGTGTCGCATAGTCATTAATTTTGTTCCTGATTAATTGGTGTTACAGTGACAAAACAGAACTGGTGTAATGCGCAATTAGCGCTTGTGCACCCTTAGAGACAATTTAAATTTTTGTACTTCAGTTAATTACGTGTACAGTTATCATGTGTGTAATAACAGCTTTGCAGAGAGCCACTTATTAACAGGAGTTTTGTCATCAATTTAGTGTTTATGCCATTACCGTTTTGGTTTGTTTTGTTATGAAGAATTTTCAGTTAATCAGCTGACCAGCTGTACTTGTTACAATATTGTAATATGTAATATGAACTAACTGGTTCTTTCTGTTTGTATTCAGGCCATCATTAAACCTCAATATGTTGATCAGATTCCGAAGGCTGTCAAGGTATGTCAATCGAAAGTTCATAGTTCATAAAGTAGGCTTAAGTACTGTAGGTAATACCTATTATACAGCCCCTTGGGTGTCCTGTGCTGAGATGTCCTTGGCTTTACATGACCTGTGTTGGTATCTGTGTTTTCAGGGCAGTGTTCAGGCAATTCTTGACAGGAAAAATGAGATGGACAACCAAGCACACATCTGTGAACAGCTTGGTAAGGCAAACACCTTTTTTGTTGAATTTTATGATGGTTTTTCTCATTACAACTTGTAAAGTAATGAAACTGAAAATGGTTATGAAGTAGATGAAGAAGTACTTAGAAGAAAAATATGGGAGTCCACAGTAGGAATCCAACCCACAGTCTTCCAGGTTTTGTTGGGATGCTCTGACCTATCACCACAGGACTTTGCATCTTGGAAGTACATTTAACATTAATCAAAGCAACATGGTAAATAACCTGCATCTTGCAAGCACATTAAATAATGTGTTATGTACACTATGAACCAACCAACTATCCACTGCAATGAAACTGAGACTATCAATGAAATGTTTAATAATTTAGAAACGAGAAGGTAATGACGGCTGCTTCCTAGACATGGTCCACGTCGCAAGTGAGGGTGCAACCTCAAATAAGTGCATTGTATAGTGTAATCCTTCATCTAAATTTTAGATGCCACAGATATTAAATTGATTTATTATAATTTTTTTAACTACTAGATCTTACAACAGTGATGGACCGTGGTGTGGGTGAACTGTCAGGAGGAGAGCTGCAGCGTTTTGCTTGTGCTGTTGTTTGCATTCAACAGGCTGATGTGTAAGTGTAGAAACTTGACTGTTGACCCTGCACTTGATTTCATCTACAAGGGGTCGGAACAGTTGAAAAATGAGCAATACTTCTAATGTTCTTTATTTAAGTCCTCTTCGTATTCAAATGTACTTCTAAAGAATTCTAAGATCAAAATACAAACAGTGGGAACTGCCACCAAATTGTGCCCCATTTAGAATAATTGGCAATAGAGAGATTTTCGTATGACCTTAAAAAATGGTTTTGGTAAGCGTTCGTTATTTTTGTCAGCCAGTGGATGAAAAGATCCAAACATGGCCTCTTCGTTTTCCTGCCAAAGAAAACCCTAATGTGGAGAAGGCATTGTTCGATTGGCCAATCGTGTTACCTTATGACGTCAAAGCGAAGTATCGATTGATTTCTAGAAAGTTCTCGGCCACGCACGTTTGTATCCGTTTGATAAACCAATCAGATCGCTCTATTCAGTCCTGTAAGCTGTCTCTTGGCCAACAGATGACTAGTCGGTTGTAGCCAGACTAAAGGCTGATATATTTTCCACATGACAGCTGCGCGTCATAGCATCAATAAAGCAATCTCAGCAATGTATAAAAAACAACTGTTCAGCGAACATATGGCATATTAGCCTGCGTCACTGACTAATCTAAACTGGGATAGCAACGTCTGCAGAACAGCGCCACGTTCCTTGTTCTGGGCGCCCTGCTGTGTACCAGGATTAGAGTACGCGCCATGATTGGCTTGTTAAAAAGCCATTGTCGATTTACCAATCAGGGTTGACAGCAAATCCCAAACGCATTTCCGGTAATTCGTTGATCCCTTTGGGGGCGCAGAACAAGGATTTTGGGGCTGTTCTAGCAGTCTAGAAAAGGTACTTTCAGTACAACGACAAACACTACAAACAGTTACACGGTACAGTTATGGGCTCTTCAGTCAGTGTCCAGTTTCTGTTGTTGTAGCAGAAATTGGCATGCAAAGCATCGAGGAACAAACCTCAGCTACATATACGCGAACTATACCTCTTTGGTTACGCTACGTTGACGAGACATTCACCGTATTGTACACAAAGACGAAATCGACGATTTTCACGAACACCTTAACAGACAGAACGCGGACATATAGTTTACCAAGGAGATCGAGGAAAATGGTAAAATTCCTTTTTTTAGACTGCTTGGTCACTCGCGACAACAACAGACTGCGAACGACAATTTACAGAAAACCGACAAATACCGACCGATACTAGACCAGTCATCATACAACCCTACCTTACATGGCTACAACTACACGGACTTTGACGAGACTAGCGCAACTAGTTTGCGAATCGCCTGACACCCTACAAGACGAGACTGACTACCTAAACAACGAGTTTAGTTAACAACAACTACAGCGCGCATTTTGTTAGACGGAACACTCGTAGTAACACTGATTCCAACTCTCAGACCAACGTCAACTCTGGCCCTCTTACGACAGCGACTATACCGTACATCAGAGGCACCTCGGAAACTATCGCACGTATACTACAACCTTACGATTTACACGTTGCACACAAACCGATAACCACTTTACGACGACTACTTACTAATGTCAAGGACAAAGACAAACCGGAGGGCAGACAGGGAGAAGTATGCAAGATCAAAATTAATGCTGAGACTGCCAGGCTACTTACATTGGTCAAACCGGCAGAAACCGTAGCACGAGACTGAACGAACTCACACGAGCTTAACAGGACAAGAAACATAAAAAAGATTTTTTTCTTGTGCGATTAAGGAATTATTTTCAATGATTTATTGAAAGTACATTCACTGATCATCAAATGTGCTTTCTCAAGAAATATCCAGCTGCGTGACCTCTACACAGTGGTAACCTCTAATCAAAATGTCTTAAGGTATTTGCACAGGCAAATTTTCAACATTTTATTTTGCACTCAAAATCTTTCTACAGTAAGTTCAGATGATGTAATATGCATATCTGGTGTTCTTTTTTGAATATACCTTCGCATTAAAGAGAAAATCTACTCAAAAGCTGACTGATTTACCGGAAGTTAAAGAAAAATTGTCATTTCCGTTACTAAGAAAATGGACGGCAGGAGCGCAATTTGACTCCTCTTTCCCGCATCAAGTTCTATTGATGCGCTGAACAAAATCTATTCACTGCTTGGATTCATTGACAAACTACAGCCGCTGTATGTCCAACTTGATTTTTCTTCCTTCTGTTAAAGCTGTGATGACTAATATTACTTGCTTCTTGTCAAAATTCGTTATGTTCTTGAAATATGCTCCGTTTTCCAAGGCTTAATATTGTTTTAAATTTACATTACATCGGTGTGTCTTCTCACCTGATATATTCTGACAATTTTGCCAGGAGAGTAAAACGTTTTCTTGGCCTCTAATCCTCTGGTCTGTTTTTCTGCCAATTTCTTTCACCTTACAGAAGCAATTCTTTTCAATTTTGAATAAAACTCTTCTTCAATCTTCATACTTCGGCGCGCTTCACTGCATTAAAGCTGACACTGAGTAACGCATCTTCCGGAAATACGTCACACCTAGCAACTGGTCACGTATCAAAATCCAAGGGGGCTATAGAGAGGTCATTTGGCATTTTCTTAGGCTTCCACGAGCATTTTACACAGCGGTGATTCAAAATGGCGGGCAAGAAGGTCTGTGATGGTAGTATCGAGGAAAAACAGTTGATTTTGAGAAGAAAATAAGCTTTTTCACACTGGAAAAGCGTTAATTACCGCGTGACCGATTTACCTTGACTTACGGGAACCAGTTTTTTGGAGGAATGGATCATTATTTCTTTGTGAAATTTGGCAAATACACAAACAGCATGTTAATGAACAGATCTGTGTTTGACTAAAGGTTAGAACACAGGTAGCCCAAGCTCACTATGAGAGCCCTGAACAACATTATCCTACTTAGCTAATTAATTATTCATACAGCAAGAAAATTATAAGACGTTGTATGGAGAAATATTCTTTGCTCACTAAATTAGCAAAATGTACATTGAATATCGCTTTGAAGCTTACCTTTAGCGTCTTCTTGTTTTTCTTTGTCTTCTGACTGCATTTCAGACCTCATAGGCACTGTTTAAGGCCTTTTTTTGAGCGACAGTTTTTCACCCAGATGACAGTAGAGACAAGAGAAGAGAAGGTTGGCAAACCTCTCTTGACCGGCTCCGCTCTCGGCGGCGATAAATTCCGTGACATTTGCGACATGGAGACAATTCCGCCAGAAACAGATGTCCTGATAAATAACGCACATTTTCCATCATTCACATCGCCAAAATTCCCATTTCGAAGGTCCTAAATCGCCAACGAAATGGGCAATACACGGCTGAGGTGAGGCGAGTCGAGAGCAGACCCGCAACGGACTCCAACCGTCACGTCGACAATTCAAACCGTCGCGGGCTGGCAGGGTCAAATTGTTCAACCGTCAATGGACAATTGGAGCATTTAGCCTACTGGGCACAGTAACTGATTTTTTACTTCTCACATTGCACTCCGGGGTCGCGGAAGTCAAGCATCGCGTGTGATAATGACATGTAATATCAAAACATGTCGCGTTGTTAATGTTTTGATCTCTACCCTTCTTTTTAAAAAGCGTTTGACAATGGTTTTTTATGTATGATTTAGAAAAAAAATTTGCAATAAGAATTACTACGGCTGTAAACAGTTGTTAGCTATTTTTCCTCCCTTTTTCAACAAGTGGCAGTAGGTAGCAAGTTTGGGGACAGGATGAAAACATTAACAACGCGACATGTTTTGATATTACATGCCACTATCACACGCGATGCTTGACTTCCGCGACCCCGGAGTGCAATGTGAGAAGTAAAAAATCAGTTACTGTGCCCAGTAGGCTAAATGCTCCAATTGTCCATTGACGGTTGAACAATTTGACCCTGCCAGCCCGCGACGGTTTGAATTGTCGACGTGACGGTTGGAGTCCGTTGCGGGTCTGCTCTCGACTCGCCTCACCTCAGCCGTGTATTGCCCATTTCGTTGGCGATTTAGGACCTTCGAAATGGGAATTTTGGCGATGTTAATGATGGAAAATGTGCGTTATTTATCAGGACATCTGTTTCTGGCGGAATTGTCTCCATGTCGCAAATGTCACGGAATTTATCGCCGCCGAGAGCGGAGCCGGTCAAGAGAGGTTTGCCAACCTTCTCTTCTCTTGTCTCTACTGTCATCTGGGTGAAAAACTGTCGCTCAAAAAAAGGCCTTAAACAGTGCCTAGGAGGTCTGAAATGCAGTCAGAATACAAAGAAAAACAAGAAGACGCTAAAGGTAAGCTTCAAAGCGATATTCAATGTACATTTTGCTAATTTAGTGAGCAAAGAATATTTCTCCATACAACGTCTTATAATTTTCTTGCTGTATGAATAATTAATTAGCTAAGTAGGATAATGTTGTTCAGGGCTCTCATAGTGAGCTTGGGCTACCTGTGGTTAGAATTGCCGTACAGCTGAGTTATTGATGTCAAAATATGGGTCAAATTACAAAATAGCAAATTGTGCCCTAGAGGCTGGATTAATTGGAGCTGTGTCGTAGTCAAACACAGAATTATTCTATCTTACGTCCTTATTTGTGTTACATTTCTTTTTTAACAATAACTCTAAGGATTCTTCTGAAATTTTGATTTTTCTCTTTCCGTGTCACCCTAGGGGGTAATTAAATTAACACCTTTTGGGTGACATAACATAGTTTATTTTGATATATTCTAGTTCCTCAAGAACTGAGGAATACTGTCAATGTAGTGACATATAGATATTATCCATAAAACAACCACTAAAAATGATGCAAAAATGTGCAAAATTTGCCTGTGCAGATACCTTAACTTCTCTTATTTTTCTCATTAAAGCTACATGTTTGATGAGCCTTCAAGTTACCTGGATGTCAAGCAGCGCCTCAAGTGTGCCGTGACAATACGATCCCTGCTCAGTGATAATAGGTAAATTAACTGGCCATGCAATCCTAATTAGGTCTCATTACCATTTTTACATAGACCATAATGCACCTTGGTCACCCCTTAACATTTTGCGTTACTATTGTCTTCGATTTCTCTTGGGACGACGCGGAGAAATTGGAAACAATGGTTATGCAAAATTTGGGGGATAAGCAAGGTGCGTCATTGTGCGTCATGGTCTATGTGAAAATGGCGAAGAGAACTCTTCTCTGGAACCTCTGTTTCGATGCCAGATCAGTCATTTGTATGCTAGCGGATAACAGACCAGTCTCGTTCCCAGTCGTCCCCAGTACCCTTATCCAGCGAAACGGACAACAAAAACAGGAACCATCAAATCTTGGTTTCGGTTTTATTGTGGCTGCTTGAAGTTGCTTACCCATTCAACCAAGAGACGTTCCTAAGGGAGTTTTGCCTTGATTGCACATTGTTACCTGCTCTGTCCAAAGCAGTTTTTTTCTTTACGTTTCGTTTGATGGATGTATTCAGTGCCAAGAAAGTAACGTGAAAGGACCGTTCAAGGAGGTGAAAAGAAATTTTTTGGCAAATACCGCGACAGAAACATTCGTTAGTCATACCGGCAAGCATTCTTTTGTCCTCAGAATGAGCATAGCTATTAGACTTGCCACAAGTCGGCTGCCATTTGAAAGGTTAAGCAACGTGAAGAGACATAACACTGATCATAACAAATTTTCGTCTTCGTCTGATAAAGCTACGGTAATCGTTTTTCCATTTCTTCGTTAATGGCGACGTAGTTAATGATCAAACTTTGGGGGTATTAGCCCTGAAAAAAATACAATCGAGTCACCTTAACTAAGGTCTCCTTTAGGGATTTATCAAAACCTGAACCACCCCTGGGTATTTTTGAGTGTAACAATGTTACTTCGTTAGTAGGGCAATTCACTTGCCCCAGGACGGTTTTATCTATCTGCAAAGATCAAAATTGCTGGTTTGCAGGTAACGTCACGGCGGCCATGTTGGGTTCAAGGACCAAGCATTTCTAAAACTAAAACCCATTTTCATGTAAATTTTTCGAAACGAATTTTATTGTACTGAACACCAACATGACCTCCTTGTCACCTGGTTGCGAACCAAGAATACGTTGTGCATTTGCTAGTTTTTAATTAAGCTTCAAAACGTCACTATAAATCGAATTCAAAGGAGGGGAAGGGGTTTATAACAGGAGGTAGATGGGGGGCTTACATCTGGGGATTTTTTGTTTATAGGTAGATGGGCCTATAACTGAGGTGGGGGGAGGGGCTTATAGGCGGCAGTCTACGGTATATATTTTACCCTGTGCTTTGTGATATTCTTATTGCAGGTACATCATTGTAGTGGAGCATGACTTGAGTGTTCTGGACTATCTGTCCGACTATATCTGCTGTCTGTACGGAATGCCAGGGGCTTACGGGGTTGTCACCATGCCTTTCAGTGTGAGGGAAGGTGAGAGAATTAAAAAGAAGAAGGCTAGCATCGATTCATATTTAATTCTAGAGAATCCGCAGAATGTTGATGTTCTCGCAGTCATACTCGTCTTAGAATCTAAAGGTCTCTGTTATTTGTATAATGTTGTGGTTCAGTTTTATCCTTGGTTTAAATTTGGGGGGTATGGAGTGTATGATACTGAATTGGAGAAAAAGGAAAATAGAAATTAAACCAATGATAAAATTTAACCTCAACATTTACACCCAAGTTTTGTCTACTCGTTGTCTATGAGCTGACAGATGGCCATTTCATACGAGGAAAATTTTATAGATGATTTTGAGCATCAATATATTTTCATTTTCACAGGAATTAACATCTTTCTGGACGGTTTTGTTCCGACTGAGAACCTCAGATTTAGAGAGACATCACTGGTCTTTAAAGTTGCCGAAACAGCTGATAAGGTTCTGAACGTTTTAACTTTGCCTTTCTCTCTGTATGCCTTGCTTGTGTTAGAATTTCCTGAAGTATTGCCTGTTAAGATTACACAAAAGTAATGGCCATTTTTAGATGCAGGGTTCGCACAGAGTGTTGAATTCTTGAAAAAGTCTTGAAATTTGCCCAGGAATTTTCCAAACCTGGAAAAAGTCTGGAAAACAGATATAGAGTTTGGAAAAATGGTAAAAAGTCTTCATTTTTTTTTCAAAGCAACAGCGAATGCTTTCTAAGGGGAATCTTTTCTGTTTTGGTCAAATCGTATTCAATTTCGCTTGTACGTTTGCAGCGAATCATGAAAAAAGCTTTGATCCTGCTTTTTTAAAGTCTCTATTGATCACCTATTTGATAACCTTGAGTCTGGAAAAAGAAAGTATTGTTTTGGTGAAAAGTCTAATTAGAAAAGTCTGTTAGTTTGGTGAAAAGTCTGTTAGATTTGCGCCAATCAGCGCGAAGAGGAATCGAGTAAACAATCATTGAAAAACACGTGCGAAGGGTAATGACGTCATTACTTAAGTGATCTCCGTCAATCAGCATTTCGCATCGACTTTTTCGATGCAGAGACGTAGTTGCAAGTTCTCCTTCCTTTTCCCGCCCCGCCGCCAGAGCGCCCCGGAGAGCTTGCTCGCACGCTAATTTTAAAACAATTCATGTCACATACACTTTAATTAACGAGCGTTTGGTATTACCTTAACAGGAAGAGGAGGTGAAGAGGATGCGCAGATATAAATACCCTTCAATGGAAAAGCAACTGAGTACGTATTAGAGATAACCTTTTGGGGCGTGTTTATCCTTAGCAGGCGCTGGGAT